TCGGTGCCTTAGCCACCCACGACCAGAAGAGAGAGAGAGAGAGAGAGAGACCCCACATATAAGATATGGTTTCTAGATTTGTGATCTACAATGGCCCAACCAAATGGACCATATGATTTGAACATTTCTTAATTGCAGTTAATATAGACCAATCAAACACCTCCAGAGAACAATTGTCAATTCCTTAAAGTACAATTCAGAAAAATGATTTGAAAACTTAACAGAAAATTTTCATATTTGGTTATCAAACAATGCTTCAGATGTAGTGGTCACCAACCTAGCTTTCAATCTCTCGACAGTGCCATTACGCTGATATTTTACTGCATAAACCTAGCGACATCCTATAGTTATTTTTCGATTGGTAACTTAGTGAGTTCCCAAGTATCATTTGACTTGAGTGCAATCATTTCCTCTTCAATTACTATCTTCTACCCAATATGAGAAATAAGACCTTGGGATAGAAGCAGCTGAAAGAAGCCACAGGAAAACTTTGATAGGATGGGGATAAATTTGTGTAGGTATACAAGATCTTATACCTTTACATATGGGGATAGGTACATTATCATTACCAAGCACAATGTAGTTTAGAAGCCGGAAGTAGCTGGTTGAGCCAGTTGAGGGTATCCATCTTGCACTTTCCTTCTCGTGTAAACCTTTATGGGCTGCTCTGAGGGACATGAATGGTGAGTGGAAGTAACTGATAGGTTTGGCAGGTTGAGGTAACTGAGGTGAAGATGAAGTATCAACAGGAGCAGGAAGCAGAACTATAGAAGACGAGGACTTTGTGACTACTTCTGGAGCAGGATAAAAGAAATTTGCATGAAGCATACAGCCCTCTACTGAAAAAATAAGAAGTATTTTTAGAAAATGTAACATTAACGCATGTAAATTTCTCTTGTAAACTAGGATGATGGCAATGATAAACTTTTCTGGAAGTGTGAGTACCCTAGAAAAGCACTCGACCATTCGAGGATCTAACCTATCACTACCAATGCCTAACATGTCACCACAGTGCCACTCTTTGATTAGACTAGGGCATCATCTATATGCACAATAGATTTAGGGTTTTTGAGATAAAATTCTGGCGGATCATGAGATCATCCACGATTGCCCACAAACCTCAAAACTATTCAATGCTCCTCTATTGATCTCAATCTTCTGAGATTAATCACACAAACGATAGCATGATCACACTAAATGCAGACCTACATGGGTTACACACAAAACCTATGAAACAAGCATAGGGTTTGGATCAAGCAGCCCTAGGAAGTAACCCTAGTTTTGCTTTCGTCCTCCGGCCCCCCCCCTCCCCCCCCCGCACCCACCCCCCCTTCCTTTCCCCCTAATTGCGCATATCAAGATCAATCCTCCTAATTGCGCATCTCGAGATCAATCCTAGGATTTTGGTAAGAGCAATACAGGAAATAAAAAAAAAATTTAGGGTAGAGATAGAGAAAGGATGAGGAGCAAGATGGAAGAACTAATCAATGCATTATACGATGCTAGAGAGAGAGAGAGAGAGAGATGTTAGAGTGCAATTAAACTTCACACACCTCTCATAACTTCTTTTGATATTAATGAAATAAGGCAAACGATAATACTACTCATGCAAACTGGGAATAGGACATATAGGTCCTAATAACTTAAATGACAGCAAAATAAAGATAAAGGGGCTTTTACCACATGGTTTTGAATTTTTCTTTTATACTTGGGTAAGTTGGTTAAAAGGTATACTATTTTTTCCTTATTTTTTGCAAAGATCCTTTCTTGTTCTGTTCTAATGAAGCACCTTTATGTTTTTGAAAAGGAGAAAAGAGGTAAGTACCAGTTTTCACATTAAAATTAGCAGTTTATGTTTAGAACTTCAGATACAAAATGCCATATTTTTTATTGAAGTCTTGTGAAGTTCTTTATTGAGGATCTAAACGAGTTTCTTAAGTTATTTTTAATGACCTCTTTGTTTTTTATCAGTGTGTTGTCATTGAAGATGCACTTGCTGGAGTTCAAGCTGCTAAAGCTGCACAAATGAGGCAAGGATGTGATTTAATTTTTTCTGCACAGCTTAAATTTATTGTCTTTAAATGCAACACGAAAATATTATTCATTTGTGCATATTGATAGCCTTAGATGCCATGGCAAGGATTTATTTGCTTTCTATACCTTTTCCTTGAGATAAAGATAATTTATGAGGGATGAATATACAGTGAGAGTTTACTCTCATATTCCTTCATAGTTTGTCCTTATTAGTATTTGAAAGGGTTAGGACACCCTTTTATCAGAGGACACACATATTCTCTGTCTCTCTCTCTCACCCCCTCTCTTTCTATTTCCACCCTCTTCTCTTTCGTCTTTGGTAATACTCATTTTTCTCCTACATCCCCCTCAATCTTCCTCCCCCTTCTCTTTTGATTTTGCTTTCTCCTCTCTCTCTCTGTTTTTCGTCTTGCTTGTTCCAGGTCCTCTCATTTGATTTCTGCTAAGGGCAAATTTACATTGTACACAGCCTATATTTTAATATCGTAGAGCACCTGACACATGGGCTGCCTTACCAAGTAAAAAGAGTTCTGTGGGGATGTTCAAGCATGTGTGTGTCTGAGAGAGAGAGAGAGAGAGAGAGAGAGAGAGAGACCTACTAAC